CAGCGATGGAAGCGGTCGAGAGAAGTGGTTCAGATAGAAGTGATTGTACCCGACCTAAAAAGCCTCTGCATGTTTCTAATAAGCTCCACGAGCAGAACGTGCTGCAAACTAGGATCAATATTGGAGATGCTTTTGAAAAATGGAGAGAGGTTAGAACACAGAAAGGTTTACAGACCCATGCAGAGCTGGATAAACACTGAAGCTTCAGAGTCCACCACATGGTGACCTGAGTGAGCATCCACTCTAGAGAGGAGGGGGGAGGGGGGAGACAGCTCTCTATGGTGTTTAGAATTTAGACTGCAGTACCCATTTTAAACACTAGGGGTCAGAGTTACATACTGCTCCTTATTTAAACACTGCAAAGAGATATTTACTTCTGTTTGCGTCTCAAACTGAAGGTAAATCAAGCATTGTTAAACATTTTCACCCACACATCTGTATATAAATAAAAAAATAAAGAGAAACGTAGAAAATAATCTCCATCCTTCTTCTTGTCTTGATGCAGGAACTTGTCCTACTCAAGATCTTCAACGTGGGCAGCAGGTATTTGGTGAACCGGGTCAGACCACATCCAGAGCCGGATAGTGTACTACCTCATGAACATCCACGTCACCCGAGGTCCATCTACCTGTGTCGTCACGGAGAGAGCGAGCTCAACCTCGTGGGTCGCATTGGGGGGGACTCTGGGCTGTCGCCTCGAGGGCTCAGGTGAGGACCGTTAGATCTGTGTGTGTGTGTGTTTGTGTTTGGTACTGAATATAGCATATATATTAATGTGTGTGTGTGTGTGTGTGTGTGTGTGTGTGTGTGTGTGTGTGTGTGTGTGTGTGTGTATGTTGTGTGTGTGTGGTGGTGTGTGTCAGTTTGCCAGTGCTCTGGGTACGTACATGGTGGTCAGTGTATCAGTGACCTGAAGGTGTGGACGAGTCACATGAAGAGGACCATCCAGACCGCAGAGGGTCTGGGAGTTCAGTACGAGCAGTGGAAAGCTCTCAACGAGATCGACGCTGTGAGTGCCGTCAATGTGTTTCCAACATTCACTCTGCAAAGAGTGACGTCTAAGTTAGATCAAATATTTTAAATCCAGGCAAAGCATAGTTAACATTTTTCTGACATAATTTTCTTCTTAAAGTCTCATATCCTCCTCCTCTTCTTCAGTGTAAATAAGTCTCAGAGCTCCTCAAAACATGTGTGTGAAGTTTCTTGTTCTAAATCCACTCTGATTCTGTATTTGATCATGTCTATAAAACCCTCTATTTCAGCCCTGCTCAGAACAGACTGTTTCTGTGTCTGTACCTTTAAATATGTAATGAGCTGTGTCTGACCACGCCCCCTTCTGGAAGGGCTTTGGTGTACTCGGTCTTTCTCACTCCATGTCCTATTGTTTACGGTGAGAAGGCAGACTCAGAGGGCAGAACAAACACCTGGCTGTGGGAGTGTCACCCACCTGGGGGAGGGCTACTGCCCTTTGTGATGTCATGAAGGGAAAATCTCCAAACGGCCTGTTTGAGCACACATTTTCTGAAAAGAGGAGCAGGCAGAAGACAGAGAGCATGGACTTTTCTATATAATTGGGGGTTTGTAGACAGACTAGAGACACATGTTAGAGTTAGAGGAACATGGTGAAGAGGATTTAATATAATATGTGACCTTTTAAATCTTTCTTTGTATCAGACAAACATAACGGTTTTATTCTGTCCATGCTAGTTAGAAGTTATCTGCAGGGTCTCAATTATTAGATTTTTCATTATTTTTTAAATAATGTGAAGAGACTAGTTTACCAACAGATTCATTTTGTCATTTTCGAGACTGAGAAAGTAATCATTTTTTAAAATTATGTTTAGGACTAATTTTGCTGATTTTCAGTTATAAACCTGCGCTTAATTTCTTTGCTTTCTTGTTTTAAAAAGCTGACGTTTGTGTGAATATAATTCTCTCCGCGTTGCTGTAAACGAGAGCCTGAGAAAGGTTTGTGTAAGAGACACAAGAGATCTGTTTGTTTGAGACTCTATGTGTGTTGTTGTCGTCTCAGGGGGTTTGCGAGGACATGACGTACGAGGAGATCCAGGAGCATTACCCAGAGGAGTTCGCACTGAGAGACCAAGACAAATATCGCTATCGCTACCCCCGAGGAGAGGTGAGAGGGGGAGAGGGGGAGAGGGGTTTTAAAATGTTGATCTTCAACTCTTCTATGTTCCTCATTCTTCTTAAAGTACCAATCAGTGAGATGTGTGGAGAGTGAGATGATAAAGGTATTACTATCTGATCATTAAGGAAACATGCTATGTTGAAGTGCTGGCTTCTCTGATGCTATGTTGAAGTGCTGGCTTCTCTGACAACATGCAGCAGCCAGTATGTCCTCCTTCTAACTTTAGATTCTGCTCCTGAATGCTCTGGATTTGTTTGGACCAGAGAAGGTAGGCGTTTTAAGACACCCCACACGGCCGTTTTGGACACCCCTCGGTTTGTCAGATATGAGAGCAGTTATCAGGTCAACAGGTGTTGCAGTGATGGAAGCGGTCAAGAGAAGTGGTTCAGATAGAAGTGATTGTACCCGACCTAAAAAGCCTCTGCATGTTTCTAATAAGCTCCACGAGCAGAAACGTGCTCAAACTAGGATCAATATTGGAGATGCTTTTGAAAAATGGAGAGAGGTTAGAACACAGAAAGGTTTACAGACCCATGCAGAGCTGGATAAACACTGAAGCTTCAGAGTCCACCACATGGTGACCTGAGAGAGCATCCACTCTAGAGGGAGGGGGGGGGGGGCAGCACTCTATGATGTTTTTGATTCAGACTGCAGTACCCATTTTAAACACTAGGGGTCAGAGTTACATACTGCTCCTTTAAACTTGTGAACGCATCCATTCAGTTTGAAACTTTCACCAAAACACAAACTGCATATGCTTTAGTTTTTTTAGTAAAGGCATCTTTGCATAAGATCTAAACCAAAACATCCTTTACATTTAAATTCTAACAGTAGTTTCTTGTGTTTTCTGAAGTTATATTTAATATATGTTACCATAATAACACACTGCACCTTCATGGTCTGTCTCTGTCTCCACCAGTCATACGAGGACCTGGTGCAGCGTCTGGAGCCAGTCATCATGGAGCTGGAGAGGCAGGAGAACGTTTTGGTCATCTGTCACCAGGCTGTCATGAGGTGTCTGCTGGCATACTTCCTGGACAAAAGTGCAAGTGAGTGCAAACAAACGAAATGTATATTCACAATAACAAACAAAACATCCCTCTTCGTTTAACGGGACGCTGGAAGTCAGTCTGAGGTGCAGAGAGAAGTTGTTCTGTGCGGCGGCACTTATAAGCTGTTGGTTTTAATTGTGCCTGCTTTTAGGGGTCTGCTCAGCACCCTTATTTCCACGTCCCACATCCTTGGCATAAACCAGGCAAGAAAAGTTCCCATCAAATGTATGACAGACAAGTGTTGAAATAAAAAACTATATTTATTCAGTTATTCAGGTCCAGACCAATAAGGATTTTTGGGACCGATATCGAAGTAAGGATACAAACGAAGACTAGAAAATAAATATACAAGTTCAAGTCCATCTAGCATAAGTAAACATCTGTATATTATGATAACGTTGTTTTTTATTCTCTCTCTCTCTCTGTTTGTCAGATGAGCTGCCCTACCTGAAGTGTCCTCTCCACACAGTCCTGAAACTCACGCCCGTCGCCTACGGTCAGTCTCACAGCTGGACTCTACCTCCAGTTGATTCTTCTTCTTGACTTGAAGTTTTCCTTTCTCTCTTATATTTATAAATCACAGCCTCTCTCTCTCTGCGGTTTGTGTTTGTCTCTCAGGTTGTAAAGTGGAGTCCGTCTTCCTCAACATCGAAGCCGTCAACACGCACAGAGACAAACCAGAGGTAAATAAAAACTATTTTAAATAGTGGGGGTTTTGGATGGCTGCATGTCCCTCTCTTTCCTCCCAGTGTTTCCTCTCTCTCAAAATAATAATTCTTAAAGGGGACATATTATGAAAAATTTCTACAGTGTTTGTGAACATATATGTGTGTAACCTGAGAGTCTACTGACCCACAACATGTGAAATAAACCCATCCAGTCCTTTGTTTGTGGTCTGCATAAGTCTTACAACACAGAGAAAAATGCTCTGTTTCTAATGTGCTCTCGTTGTGATGTCACAGTGGGATTCTGGTAAAAATAAAATCCCCTCCCCTCCCCTGATATCTCCACCCATGGACTCCACCCCCAGACTAGAACAAAACTTTAGAGCAGGTCGGTCATTTGTATTCTTTCTACAGAGGAGTGATGTCTACGGGGAAAACTCAGGGGGCGGGGCTCATTACATTTAAAGAGACACACACACCAAAACGGAGCGTTCTGAGAGAGCTGGTTATGTTATATTTTGACCAAAGCACAACACAGATGTTTCATTCAGACCACAGGGGACTGTTAGAAAAGGTGGAGGGGGACTGTTAGAAAAGGTGGAGGAGGGGGACTGTTAGAAAAGGTGGAGGAGGAGGACTGTTTGAAAAGGTGGAGGAGGGGGACTGTTAGAAAAGGTGGAGGGGGACTGTTTGAAAAGGTGGAGGAGGGGACTGTTTGAAAAGGTGGAGGAGGGGACTGTTTGAAAAGGTGGAGGAGGGGGACTGTTTGAAAAGGTGGAGGAGGGGGACTGTTTGAAAAGGTGGAGGAGGAGGGGGATCATATGTCCTCTTTAAATAGTGACAATCGGGTCTGATACGGTCTTTTTCTCTTTTTCAGAACGTGGATGTCGACAGAGAACCGGCGGAGGCGTTGGAGACGGTCCCTGACCACATCTAGAGCTGATCTGATCTCCTCCTACTGTCATGGAAAGTGGCCTTTTTTAATTTAACTAATCTTACTTTTCATTGTTGTGATCACGGTCATGAAATGGACACAACATGTGATGCATAAACAATCAGGAGTTTTCCTCCGATGAGCGCATACTTCCATTATAAACGCACTTTATCCTGCAGGACTCAGGCCAAATGTCTGTGATACGAAGATGAGGCTTCCTTTACCGACCACAACACGTCAGAAACTTAAACTTTATCTTCCTCCGTTCTTGTGCTAATAGACTAACCACCAGCGTACGATTATTTAAAGATCTCTGAGGTTTCATCCTTTGAGAACAGGAAGTGTTCAGCTGGAAGGTTTTCTGTTTCTCCTCGTAACAGTGACTCAAACAGGAAACGTTTGCACAGTGTTGACATAAAAGGGAATTATTTGACATGTTGACAACCGCTTTCTTCACCTCTCTCGTGTCTGTTAGCATGCTTTAGCTTAGCGCAGCACAAAGACTGGAAACAGATCAGTGCTGTAACTACGCTCAGCCGTCATCGCGTCTTTGTACGGTCATAATTATTCTCAATTCAAATCTTAATCACGTTTTTAAATCACATTATTTCGCACTTACAAATACAAATTATTAGGCTTTTATTTTGACCCATTTTTTGTACCGTCCTAAGCTGAGAGTACTTTACTTCCTGTTTGAATTCTACCGTGCTTTTATTTTGAAATACAGTAAGCCCTTCTGGTAGATGGAAGGTTAGGACATGAAGTTAAGCACAGAAACAGGAAGTGGTTAGGGATCCCAAACTGACGTCAAACAGCTCAAAGGAACGGCAACAAAGGTCAATGTGTGATGTCATAAGGTCAATGTGTGATGTCATAAGGTCAATGTGTGATGTCATCAGGTGGATATTACTGTCTGAGAGTTTGTTAAAGTGAAATGAGACATTCAGAGATGCAGCAGTGAGACTACAGGGAGACACTGAGGACGAGTATCTACGAGAGCTGAAGGGACAAACAGGAGATTAATCAGGATTTAAAAAACAAAAAAACAGACCTTAACTAGTTGACGCTGACAGCCCGAGTTTCATTGTAACAGTCTTTGTGCTAAGCTAAGCTAGCCGCCTGCTGCCTCAGCTTTGTAAGCATCGTACAGACGAGAGAGTGACCGGGTCTCTGGTACCCCCCCACACGGTAACGGGTTTCTGTGTGGACGTGGTTTTGTTTCATGTCAAAGTGGACAAAGATGGAGGAGCTGATCTTGAAGAGAAACAAACCACACACACCCTCTGAAGTTTAAACTGCCCGACACCACGACGTGCCTCACACGAGTCAAACAAACACGATGACTCTATGCAGCCTCCGTACTCAGACTCACACCGCCGCACGCCGCCGCCGCCGCACGCCTCGTCCACTAGTGAGTACCGTCGACTGTTTTTAATGAGATGCATAAACGGGATCTGGTGCAATGTTTGTTTTTAATAATAATTTAAAGATGTTTGTAGTTTCCTGTGACACAGACCTGAACCCCTAACCTGGACCTGAACCCCTAACCTGGACCTGAACCCCTAACCTAGACCTGAACCCCTAACCTGGACCTGAACCCCTAACCTGGACCTGAACCCCTAACCTGGACCTGAACCCCTAACCTGGACCTGAACCCCTAACCTGGACCTGAACCCCTAACCTGGACCTGAACCCCTAACCTAGACCTGAACCCCTAACCTGGACCTGAACCCCTAACCTAGACCTGAACCCCTAACCTAGACCTGAACCCTAACCTGGACCTGAACCCCTAACCTAGACCTGAACCCCTAACCTAGACCTGAACCCCTAACCTGGACCTGAACCCCTAACCTAGACCTGAACCCCTAACCTAGACCTGAACCCCTAACCTGGACCTGAACCCCTAACCTGGACCTGAACCCCTAACCTAGACCTGAACCCTAACCTGGACCTGAACCCTAACCTAGACCTGTACCCTAACCTAGACCTGAACCCCTAACCTGGACCTGAACCCCTAACCTAGACCTGAACCCCTAACCTAGACCTGAACCCCTAACCTAGACCTGAACCACTAACCTGGACTTGTGACACAGACCTGAACCCCTAAC